GTAGGATTACTGGTGTCCTTTTTTCTGTTTCATAAACATGCAAGATTTCAGGTACGTCTTGCTACTTCTACTTACACTTAGGTCACACTGCATATACATGTACAAGCACATATATACACACCCCTCTGGGTTTTCTTCTATTTTCTTTCTAGTTCTTGTTCTTGTCTATTTCCTCTTATCTCCATGGGGAAGTGGAACAGAATTCTTCCTCCGTAAGCCATGCGTGTCGTAAGAGGCGACTAAAATGCCGGGAGCAAGGGGCTAGTAACCCCTTCTCCTGTATATATTACTAAATGTAAAAGGAGAAGCTTTCATTTTTCCTTTTGGGCCACCCTGCCTCGGTGTGATACAGCCGGTGTGTTGAAAGAGCTTTCAGAATATGCAAAACAACCACTGTGAAAGAATAGAGAAATTCCAAGCGCTTTCGTGACTACTCACATTATCAAGGAACAATGATAATTGTTCCTTGATAATGTGAGAAGTCACAAAAGCACTTTGAATTTCTCTATTCTTTCACAGTGGTTGTTTTGCATATATAATATGTATATATATATACACCTACCATCCAACTTACGACCGAGTTCGGTTCCGAGAAACCGGTCGTAAGTCGAACTTTACTACTGAATATCAACATCACATTTTTGTAATGACTATTTTATTGTTTTATTTTGGTATTTCATGTTTTACTTTACTTTTTATGCTGTTAGTACTATATTTTATACTGTAAGGTTTAGGATAAACACTGTGTACAACACAAATAGTTGTTTATTTCCCAGAAATTTGGCATAAAAAACACGGTCGTAAGTCGAGTGGTCGTAAGTCGAGCAGGTTGTAAGTCGGATCGTAGGTGTATACGTATATATAAATATATTGTATATATATATATATTTTTTTTTTCAACAAGTCGGCCGTCTCCCACCGAGGCAGGGTGACCCAAAAAAGAAAGAAAAAACCCCAAAAAAAAATACTTTCATCATCATTCAACACTTTCACCACACTCGCACATTATCACTGTTTTTGCAGAGGTGCTCAGAATACAAACAGTCAGAAGCATACACATATAAAGATACACAACATATCCCTCCAAACTGCCAATATCCCAAACCCTCCTTTAAAGTGCAGGCATGTACTTCCCCTTTCCAGGACTCAAGTCGACTATATGGAATAACGGTTTCCCTGAATCCCTTCACTAAATATTACCCTGCTCACACTCCAACAGATCGTCAGGTCCCAAGTACCATTCGTCTCCATTCACTCCTATCTAACACGCTCACGCACGCTTGCTGGAAGTCCAAGCCCCTTGCCCACAAAACCTCCTTTACCCCCTCTCTCCAACCCTTTCGAGGACGACCCCTACCCCGCCTTCCTTCCCCTATAGATTTATATGCTTTCCATGTCATTCTACTTTGATCCATTCTCTCTAAATGACCAAACCACCACAACAACCCCTCTTCTGCCCTCTGACTAATACTTTTATTAACTCCACACCTTCTCCTAATTTCCACACTCTGAATTTTCTGCATAATATTTACACCACACATTGCCCTTAAACAGGACATCTCCACTGCCTCCAACCGTCTCCTCGCTGCTGCATTTACCACCCAAGCTTCACACCCATATAAGAGTGTTGGTACTACTATACTTTCATACATTCCCTTCTTTGCCTCCATAGATAACGTTTTTTGACTCCACATATACCTCAATGCACCACTCACCTTTTTTCCCTCATCAATTCTATGATTAACCTCATCCTTCATAAATCCATCCACCGACACGTCAACTCCCAAGTATCTGAAAACATTCACTTCTTCCATACTCCTCCTCCCCAATTTGATATCCAATTTTTCTTTATCTAAATCATTTGACACCCTCATCACCTTACTCTTTTCTATGTTCACTTTCAACTTTCTACCTTTACACACATTCCCAAACTCATCCACTAACCTTTGCAATTTTTCTTTAGAATCTCCCATAAGCACAGTATCATCAGCAAAAAGTAACTGTGTCAATTCCCATTTTGAATTTGATTCCCCAAAATTTAATCCCACCCCTCTCCCGAACACCCTAGCATTTATTTCCTTTACAACCCCATCTATAAATATATTAAACAACCATGGTGACATTACACATCCCTGTCTAAGACCTACTTTTACCGGGAAGTAGTCTCCCTCTCTTCTACACACCCTAACCTGAGCCTCACTATCCTCATAAAAACTCTTTACAGCATTTAATAACTTACCACCTATTCCATATACTTGCAACATCTGCCACATTGCTCCTCTATCCACTCTATCATATGCCTTTTCTAAATCCATAAATGCAATAAAAACTTCCCTACCTTTATCTAAATACTGTTCACATATATGCTTCAATGTAAACACTTGAGCTACACATCCCCTACCCACTCTGAAACCTCTTTGCTCATCCGCAATCCTACATTCTGTCTTACCTCTAATTCTTTCAATTATAACCCTACCGTACACTTTTCCTGGTATACTCAGTAAGCTTATTCCTCTATAATTTTTTACAGTCTCTTTTGTCCCCTTTCCCTTTATATAAAGGGACTATACATGCTCTCCGCCAATCCCTAGGTACCTTCCCCTCTTTCATACATTTATTAAACAAAAGTACCAACCACTCCAACACTATATCCCCCCCTGCTTTTAACATTTCTGTCATGATCCCATCAGTTCCAGCTGCTTTACCCCCTTTCATTTTACGTAATGCCTCACGTACCTCCCCCACACTTACATTCTGCTCTTCTTCACTCCTAAAAGATGGTATACCTCCCTGACCAGTGCATGAAATTACTGCCTCTGTTTCTTCCTTAACATTTAAAAGTTCCTCAAAATATTCTCGCCATCTACATATATAATATACATAATATATGTATATATATATATGTGGTCTGTCATTGACTGAAATGTCGTTATGTGGTGCATGACTGTATAAGTAGTTTCAAGTTAGTTTAACCCTTTCAGGGTTTTCGACGTACGTACTAGTACAGCTTATGCACCAGGGTTATTGACGTACTAGAACGCCTAAATTCTAGCGCCTTCAAATCTAGCGAGAGAAAGCTGGTAGGCCTACATATGAAAGAACCAGTCTATGTGGTCAGTGTACGCAGTATAAAAAAAATCCTGCAGCACACAGTGCGTAATGAGAAAAAAAAACTTGGACCGTGTTTTTGGATTAAAACAGCGACTTTGCACTGTATTTTCGTGTGGTATTTATGGTTGTATTCTAGTTTTCCTGGTCTCATTTTATAGAATGGAAGACATATTACAGAAATTGAGATGATTTTGATTGGTTTCACAATGAAAAGTACCTTGAAATTGAGCTCAAATTAGCAGAAATGTTCAATTTTTACCGAAGTTCAAAAGTAAACAAATCATGCCAAGCGTCCAATACACGTCAACTGGTGAGTCTAATATTCTTTCACAAGTGCACTGATATCATTTATACCATTTCTACACTAATGCAGTAGTCTGCATAACAGTAAATCTTTTATTTTTTGTAAGAATAAAAATTCAAAGTGGAAAGCAAAAAAAATATAAGAGGGGCCTGGGGACATGACTAACGAACAGAGAACTTGTTATTTTAGTACCAGGAATGTCTGTCTTGTTTATTCTGGACCCTATTTGGAAATTGGCATCTTCTGAAATTTGTGTAAAATTGGCAAAATTGCCAATTTCTGACCACTTTATTGGATTGTTGAAATTGATAAATGGGTGGTTTTTTGTACTCATTCGATAGAAAAAAATGGAGTTCTAGCGAAATAAGCATGATTTTTGTCGACTAGTACACAGGAATTGGCTGAAAATAGGGCTCGAAGTGGGCGAAATCACCGATGCATAAACATCAGCAAGACCGCTAACTTCACGAGAGCATAATTCCATAAGTTTTTCATCAAATGTCATACTTTTGGTGTCATTATGATCGGGAAAAGATTCTCTATCATTTCATAAGAATTTTTTTTTTTTTTCCGAAAAATTTTCGACCCTGAGAACAAGTTTAGGAGAGGGCCTCTCGACCCTGAAAGGGTTAAGGCTGCCCAAAATGCTCTGCATAACCAGGGGATTTCTATAAAATATATCAATAATATCACCTTTTCTGTGTAAACCGTAAACCATTGTTTACAGACATGAAGTAGTATTTTATTTTTATGTGTACCACTATCTACCAGATCTATTAACCACCACCACCCCAAGAGCAATTTTTTTTTTTGTTAAAGTTTCACTTACAATTGTCTTTTCTGCACCTCCAGGGTCACTTTTATTCATTTTTAGTGCTATAATTAATATCTAGACAACAATGTGTGATGACATAATTGAAAAATAGACTGACAACCACAGACTATCATATGGTGGTATCCAGATAGATGGATCAGTTTCTTTGTGCCAAGCAGTGATGCTAGGCCTCCTTGCACACCAAAACAATGGTCTCAAAAATGGGGTGGAGGGACGCTTCATAATGGTAATGTGCACTAGTAATTCTGCCTCAGCATGACAATGGTAATGTTATGCTACTATTAGAAATGAAAAGGTAAATGTAAATCGCATGATATTGAAAACACGAGCTATGATCATTTGACTTGTTGAAGTATATTGTATGTATTTAAGTTGTATCTCTCTCTCTCACACACATGCATGCATGCACACAATACAAAAAAATATTAAATTACATATTGCAATACAAACCTTAGAGAAAATTGAGCATTTAGTGGAAGCTATTAAATTAAGATTTAACTTTAAATTTAACTTCAAAAGAATTAAAAGCAAATAAGGAATTAATGATATAATAATAGTAGGAATTATGATTAAATTTTAAAATGTTAAGGAACATGATGTAATTTGTAACTTGGAAGTGCAAGTTTAACGGCAGTTCAAGGAATTATTGGGAATTAGTCAACAAGTGCGTTGGTTCATAAATTCTCAGCTAATGATCATCTTGGAAAATTGTTACTTAATTGGTTGTACAGTATATAAAAGGTAACTCACATTCATTTTTCTTTTGCAGCGGGAGAGATTGAGTGTTAGGTGTAATCGGAGATGAGTGAAGGTAGCTGTGTGTTCACCCTGATCTCCAGTCGGTAGCTTGCGAAGGGCATAAGAGAAGCGATGGGCAGCTTCTTTTAAGCGACCCTTGCGACACAATGCTACTCCATCCTCCTGCAGCTTGTTGAGTAACATTACCCTGATCAAATAAACAAGGAATAATCATAAGAAAATTTATAGGACTTAGTTAAGGATTTAAACATAATAATAATGGAAAACCTTACTAATGCACATTAAACATGCCAAAATTATACACACACACATTTTAATGTAGAAAAAGTCAAAGAAAGTTGTCATGAAAACCAGCTTCATTTGTACCATTCAGAACCACTAGATTATTATTATTATAATCAAAAAGAAGCGCTAAGCCACAAGGGCTATTAGCACTGCAGGGTAGGGAAGGAAGCGAGGGTATTGGGCAGCAGAAGGGGGGAGGGGCAATCAGTAGGTTACAGAAAACAGCAGGGCAGGGGTGGATGGTAGCAAGAGATTGAGGTAGAAAGGGCTGAAGGTATCATCAGAGTTTGTGAAGTAAGTCAGTTGTTGTCAAAAAGTCAATGAGAGAGTCTGGATGAAAGGTGGGTCCATCAGCGAGAAGGGAAGGTAAAGAGAGAGCAGCGGAGCGAAGACGACGTTGGAGGTAAATTCTGCGTGCTTGTTGATAAAGTGGGCAGTCTAACAGAATGTGGCTGACCGATAATGGAACCTGACAGTTCTCACAGAGAGGAGCAGGGCGCCTCTCCATGAGATATCCATGAGTAAGACGAGTATGGCCAATGCGAAGACGGGAGAGAGTAGTCTCCCAACCTCGGCACTGATGACAAGAAGACGGCCAGTAACCTATACTCGGTTTAATAGATTGAAGTTTGTTACCGAGTAGAGTAGACCAACGTTGTTGCCAACGGGTGTGAAGGTGGGTAGCTATTGCAGCAAAATAGTCCGTAAATGGAACACCTCTATATGAAACTGGTAGGTCATGTACTGCTGACCATGCAGCAGTGTCTGCCTGTTAATTGCCCTGTACGTCAACATGACCAGGGACCCAACAAAAAACAATATCTTTATGCTTGGTAGAGATGCGGCGTAGCCAAAGTTGGATACAGAGGACTAAGGGGTGAGGTGTATCAAATTTCTGTATAGCCTGTAAAGCACTAAGGGAGTCTGAGACAACCACAAATGATGACAAAGGCATAGATGCAATACGGATAAGTGCTTCAAGAATGGCATACAATTCAGCAGTAAAGATACTAGCCGAAGATAGTAAATGCCCTCATACGACGCTGTCCGGAAACACTACTGTGAATCCTACGCCGTCAGAAGACTTAGAGCCATCTGTGTACACTGCAATGGCATGAGAATGAGAGTGGAAGTGGTCAAGAAAAAGAGAGTGGGAAGCTACCGTAGACAGTTGGACTTTCAAGCAAGGGAGTGAGAAAGAACAGACTCGAACAGCTGGAACTTCCCAGGGGGGTTGGCTTAGTGCTTCTTTTTGATTATAATAATAATAATTCCCAGGGGGGTAGGGAAAAGTGAGATGTTACATGAACATAGAAAGGTGGAAATTTAAGAGAAGACAAGAGCGAATGTAGGCGAAGAGAGAAGGGACGGAGCCCAGAACCATTAGAATTCATTGTGTTCATCTAAAATGCAAGTAAATTCGAACAAAAATACGACCAACGAATCCTGAACACGCTGACATTCTGAGTTCAAATACCCAGTAAAATAATTAACAAATATACTCTCTTAAGAAATGAACCTTCCATCTTTGCTACTAAAACTGTAAATAAACTAGACAGCTTCTAAACCATTTATTCAAATATAACAATCAAAATCTATGGTAAAATTGCTTAACAGTAATGTAGGCAATCAGGTTGAAGTAAACTTGGTCATTTAAAAAAAAAAAACTACATAGTGAACATAACTTATTACAATGCATTTAAACAAATATACTGAAACAAAAGTAATTACATATTCAAATGAGCCAGAGTTTTGCTAATGCACAAAAGTGAGAGATACCACCTACAAGTCAATATCTAAGTAACCTTCACACTGTATCATCAAAAATATTTTATATAATACCAGGCAATGAAATATACTTGATCACTGTACACTGATTAGTTGTACTTGTCCTACTATTTCATTTTTCATGTGAAACCATGTGTTACAAGTAGGAGACAGATAAAAAAAAAATGGAATGCAAGCTTTCATTCCAGCAATAATATTAGTAATTTGAAAAGCACACAGATGAGATGCAAATCACTCTATAAAAAATGCATAGGTTAGTCTAGCTAGCAAAGCTACAATGTCTATATTCATAAATGAAATAGATGGATATGGTACTAGTACTGTATATGATATCTGAAAAATTAGTAGGCAAGATCTATTGTACACACAAAAATAAGTTTAATAAAATGTGTAAAACTTATGTCTATATAAATATTTCCTTACATAAAAACTATATTATATACTCTGCCATGGGTTCTATCCACACCTGTTCTGTGATTATTTACTGTACAATACTTTAAAATAATATTCAAGATAAAAGAGTTTATCAATGTAATTTACTATACAATTACAATAATACGTAAGAAAAATTTATAAACTTACAAGATATTTGGCTTTCCTGCAGCCATTGCCCAAGTGGCAGGGCCCAGCTTGGCACCGCGTCGCAGGAAGCACTGCACGGCTGCGGCATTGCGGGCACTAATTGCACGGTCAAGGGGTCTCATGCCATTGATATCCACATGCTCTATTAGTGATCCTCTATCAAGTAGAAACTGTACCACAATGGGATCACCCTGATAGGCAGCAAGATCAAGTGGTGTACGGCCAGACTTGTCTGCATGATTCAAGTCTGCACTACAGTCAGCTAGATATTGGACGGCATGAACATGGCCACGTAGGCAAGCCCAGCCCAATGGAGAGAGGCCTTCTCTGTCTGTTCGAGCTATGGAGGCACCACGTGAGATTAACAATTCCATAAGCCCCAGATGTCCTTCAGCAGCAGCTACCATGAGGGGAGTCCGGCCAGCAGCATCTGGGCTCTCTACAGCAACACCTTGGCTCAGGAGCAATTTAGCCACCTCGTAGTGACCATTGCGCACAGCACAGGTGAGCGGTGAAGCACCACGTGAGTTGACTTTGGTTATACATGCTCCAGCCCTAAGTAAGGCTGCTACCATTGCTGTGTGTCCTGCACCAGCAGCAACTGTGAGAGCTGTTTCTCCAGTCACATTGTCTTCACCATCAACACTAACTTCTGCCATATCTAAAAGGAACTCTACAACCTGAAAATTATAAATTATGAAACTGGACAATATTTATAAAATAATTATTGAAAACAAAAAGTATTTGTTACTTAAGTAATTGCTACTTATTCTGCACTAGTTTTTGGAATGATTATTTTTAAATGATGAATGTGCAGTACAGTATTTAGTTTATTATATACAAAAACTGGCCAGAATATAGATAAGATATTTATTGGCTTACATTGCTGTGTCCACTGGAAGCAGCAGCAACAAGGGCCTGGTGGGACTGATTCCGCAACAGATCATTTGGTCCAGGCCAATCACAGGATAGTAGGTAACCAACCACATTGAGGTGACCGGCAGCAGCTGCTTGGACCATTGGGGTGTGATTTTGTCGGTCTTTTGATGTGAGTGAAGCTCCAGCCTGAACCAAGAGTCTCACTACATCACAATGACCTTGTGCAGATACCAGACCCAATGCTGTTACACCTTCACTATTTGTCTGATTTACATCTGCACCAAACTCGATGAGAAGTGCTACCATCTCTGTGTGACCTTGATGAGCACATACTCCTAAGATGGGAGAGTTGTGCAGATGTTCACTTGGGTAGTCTGGTGAAGCACCCGCAAGGAGCAACAGTCTTGAAACCTGGAAAAAATGTATTGATGTTGATGCCAACTATTTAAACCTGTATGTTTTCATTTTAATAACTGATTCAATATGACAGACTACTTATGATGACTCCAATTAATTCAATTAATCCAATTAATCGTAGATAAAATAAACTACGTATATTCTTATTTCATTAATAATGAGCACTCTGTTGTGTAGTGTTAATTTTTTTGTATAAACTATATACAGTGGTACCTCGGGATACGAACTTAATTCGTCCCAGAAGGCTGTTCGAGTGCCAATACCGAATGAATTTGTTCCCATAAGGAATAATGTAAACTAGATTAATCAGTTTCAGACACCCAAAAATAAACTTACAAAGCACTTACATAAATACACTTACATAATTGTTCGAGTTCTGAGTTGTTCATATCCCGAGGTACCACTGTACTGTTCTATACACCAGTACTCATAAATTTCGTACACTACCTTGGTATTAGGACTGTAGAGATTTCTGGTGCATGCGAGTGCCTGCGATACGTTATGTGAAGACTGTGCAAGCCACAGTGCCTGCAGATCACGGGGTGATAGAGGAAGAGCTCGTGCCATGTTTTTGTAGACATGTGCTTTCAGTATGTGGTGGCCTAATTCTAAAGAAGCTTCGGGATCCAATGGCCACTCAAGACGAGACATGCGAAGAGCCAAGTTAGCATGACCAGCTCTTGTGTCGCAAACAAATTTAGCAGATTCTCCTTCAACACGTCTTGCTAACCATTCACGAAGTGCTGGATGGAACAGCATGTATGTGTCATCTAGTCGTTTCACCAAGAAAGAATTAAGTACTTTGAAACAGTTGAGAAATTCCTCCCAGGACAGGAACTTGTAGAGGAGTCCAGCATTAACAGAATGATAAATTTCTGGGAGTGTAAGTGGGTTAAGTGATGCTAAAACCACATTCAGAACAGGCTGAACCTTTTCAAAGCTTCTAACACTGGGGAATCGAAGATTAAACAAGAGAAGAAAAATTTCATTTAGAGACTGTGGGAGAACCTTAAATGAACCAGATTTCATGACAAGATGGCCTCTTTCTACTAAGTCTAAGATGAGCTTGATGTACAACATTGAGCCTTTACTCTGTGAGGCCACATACTGGGTAAAGCGGTGCTGAGAGGAGCCTCCTTCTATCTTCCCCTGTGTGACTGTAATATTTGATCTTATAGTAGGAGAATGCATACAACGAAAACCTACGTAATCACAGAGATCACGGGCAGCAAGATCAGCAGCAGGGTCAGCACGCTGATCTGGATCAAGCGAGATTTGATGGAAAGGCAGAAGGCGTGTCAGGTCAACTAACTGTGTTCGAACACTAACTACCAATTTGATGAAAGAAGGTAATTTAACAGCATGACGGGCAAGGAATGAAGCGAGTGTATCCGCATGGTCTGGACGATGGTACTCAGCCTCACATATGCCATCTACCACAATTATGAGTGGATCTGCCCCAACTTTACCTAGGCGTCGAAGATTATGGAGGGGCTCTAGGATACCTTTCACCAGTGCTGTTGATGGATCGCTCACACAAGCCGGCAATGCCAACAGTCCTTGTGTCTGAGGCTCGGCCAATAACAGGTCGCGGTAGGCATGAAGCTGTGGCGCCTGGCAGAGTTGAGCAGCAATGGAGTGAACAAAGTCAGGAACAAGACAAGTTACTGAATTTTCAGCTTGGCAGAAATGATAAGCAACAACTCTAGATGCCAACGACTTGACACCTTCTGGTATCAAACTCATACGGCCATACAATGATCCGCCATTTTTACTGTATGGCTCTGAAAAATAAAAACAAAAAATTATTCATTTTAATTAAATATTCTGCATTCAATTTATGAAAAGATAATTCTTTCTACTGGTAATGTTACTTTTAAAATATCTAGACACATACAGTACAGCCTTTCCTCACTTAACGACGGAGTTCCGTTCCTAAGGCCACATCGGTAAACTAATTTGTCGCTAAGTGAGGAATATACTATAATGGTAGCAGGTTTGTGTCAACCATGTTTGATTTTGTTTTAATGTCACCTTTCCACCATTTGTAACATTTCTGGCATATTTTTTAATGTTTATACAGTGGTGTATTGTATATTGTATTAAACAGAATGGAGGAAATCAGCTCTAATATACATTATTTAGGTATGCATACTGGTCAGAGAGCCCATTGTAAGACTGAGGTGTCGGTAAACGAGTATGTCACTAAGTGAGTAAAGGCTGTACAGGTCTCCCTCAACATTCGCATTTTCAACTTTCGCAGGCTTCACACATTCGCGAATTCCCAACCACCAAATTCCCAGCTGCCAAACCATATTTAAGTTTCCGCCACCGGCGAGTCCCTACTACCCTCCCTCCGACCTCCACAACTGGCAGCCAGCCCTCCCACCACTCAGTGTGGTGAGTTTTGTTTGTTCATTATTTGCTATTAAACTACAGTATAAATAATGTCAACCCATTCATGACTAAATGTTAGAATGGCTATTCGGACAGGTATTGGACGGTGACATCATATGTTTACTCTTGAACATGGCAAAGAATCAAACATTTCTGCTACTGCTAATAATAATAATAATAATAATACAATAGAATTGAAGGAAATTGTATAAAAATATGAGGGTTGAAGCAGTGGTGGAAGAAGTGGTTGAGGCATCGTCAGTCAGTGTGGCTTTGTTTATGCTGGAGTGAGCATTAGTCTCCACGCCCTTCCAAACATTTCACAATAATTCATTGAGCATGACTGGAGTGGTAGAGGAATTGATAGAGGCAGTGGTTGAGGCAGCAGTTGAGGCAGTGGTTGAGGCAGTGGTATTTAATAAGATCTTTCTTTCTTTCAACACACCGTCCATATCCCACCAAGGCAGGGTGGCCCAAAAAGAAAAACAAAAGTTTCTCTTTTTAAATTTAATAATTTATACAGGAGAAGGGGTTACTAGCCCCTTGCTCCCGGCATTTTAGTCGCCTCTTACAACACTCATGGCTTATAGAGGAAGAATTCTGTTCCACTTCCCCATGGAGATAAGAGGAAATAAACAAGAACAAGAACTAGAAATAAAATAGAAGAAAACCCAGAGGGGTATGTATATATATGCTTGTACATGTATGTGTAGTGTGACCTAAGTGTAAGTAGAAGTAGCAAGACGTACCTGAAACCTTGTATGTTTATGAGACAGAAAAATGGACACCAGCAATCCTACCATCATGGAAAACAATTACAGGCTTTCGTTTTACAGTCACTTGGCAGGACGGTAGTACCTCCCTGGGCGGTTGCTGTCTATCAACCTACTACCTAAATCAGATATATGTTATTAATAATAATAATAATACATATTTTTAATAACATGTATTATTATTATTATTATTAATAACATGTATGTTATTGACCACTGCCTCTACCACTGCCTCAACTGCTGCCTCAACTGCTGCCTCAACCACTGCCTCAACCGCTGCCTCAACCACTGTCTCTACCACTGCCTCAACCGCTGCTCAACCACTGCTTCAACCGCTGCCTCAACTGCTGCCTCAACCGCTGCCTCTACCAATGCTTCTACCAATGCCTCTACCACTCCAGTCACACTCAATCTACAAGCACCAAACACAATGAATTATTGTGAAATGTTTGGAAGAGCGTGGGGACTAATGCTCACTCCAGCATAAACAAAGCCGCACTGACTGACGATGCTTCAACCACTTCCTCCACCACTGCTTCAACCCTCGTATTTTTGTACTATTTCCTACTTCAATTCTATCATATTTTTATTATTATTAATACGATAGAATTGAAGAAGGAAATTGTACAAAAATACAAGGGTTGAAGCAGTGGTTAAGGCATTGTCAGTGTAGCTTTGTTTATGCTGGAGTGAGCATTAGTCTCTGCACTCTTCCAAACATTTCACAATAATTCATTGTGTTTGGTGCTTGTAGACTGAGTGCAACTGCTACATAATTAACCATGGGCCCAAAGAAACTTGCTAGTGCCAGCCCTTTGGTAAAGAAATTGAGAAACACGATAGAATTGAAGAAAGAAATTGTACCAAAATACGAGCAGTGCGCTGCAGTGGTTGAGGCACTGGTATTTATTTATTTATTTATTTATTTAGAAATTTGAGCACACATACAGAGGTACAAAAAATACAGATAAGAGCAGCATGCCAAAGCCACTTATACTATGCATAGCATTACGGGCTGGCTTAAAATTAACTTAAGATTAACTAAGCAATGATGATATCAGTGATAAAACTTTAATGTAAACAGATTACTATAAAGCACAAGTGAGTATTACAAAGACAGGTCATATGGTTGTATGCATTGTTGTACATTCAGTAGAATGGAGTATTCTGTTAGGTAGTGTATTTAAAAATAATAAGTAGATTGGGTTTAGGTTTAACATTTATGTGATATAATTGGAGAAACTTAAGATATACAATTTATAAGGTTCAGTTATTCAGTATTTATTTGGTTTTGGTGAGTAAGTGTCTTTGAGAAGAGACTTGAATTTATAAACAGTAGTGTTTCTTTTATATTTACAGGTAATGAATTCCAGATTTTAGGGCCTTTTATGTGCATTGAGTTTTTGCATAGTGTGAGATGGACACGAGGTACATCAAAGAGTGATCTGTGCCTTGTGTTATGGTCCATGTGTTCTGTTGGGGTTTGGCAAGGAGATGTTGAGGGAGGTTAATATCAGAGTAAGTGTTCTATGTATGTAATAGGTGCAGTAATAAGTATGGATGTTTTGTATGGTGAGTAGGTTTAGTGTATTGAATATTGGTGGAGTGTGCTGCCTATAGTGAGAATTATGACGTTTTCATGTATTTTATGATTGTTCATGGTTCAACAAGTTAAGGAAGCAGTATTGTATTATATTTCCCTACAATATATTGGGGCACCAAACATTCGTGAGTTTTCAACATTCGCATGGCTCTTGATCCCCAAACCCTTGCGAATGTTGAGGGAGACCTTATATATATTACTTTTTTATTACTTCAGCTATTGTGCAACATCTATGGTATGTAACAAAAATAACTGAATTAGTGTCCAGTAAAATATTATTTTTCTTTGGTTTAATGATAGCTTGGAATTACCTCAATTTAAATTCTACCTTGAATTATGAGAGACTTTAGCACATCTCTATTACACAGCAAAATAGACTGACTCATAGACAACGCATTCACTATCACATGCTCCATAGCTTTCTCACCAAAAGGGTAAAAACATAATTCTGTGACGACACTAACCTTGATATATAGATTCATCCCTCTTGCGGCCAAAGCAACTGTACTCGACCAGCTGGAGAATAGCAGCAGTTTTCCCAGCACCTACACTGCCAATAATGATGACACCTCTGTTCGTTGGGGCCTCAGCAGTAAGGTGGGCTTCAATCTCTCTATAAAGCCAGGCACGGCCAACAAATAGTGGATCTGGGTCCTGCTGTGGCACTTCAAAGAATAGTGGTCGTAAGCTCAGCTGTGCACCACGGTAACTGGCAAATCGCACTGCAGAAAAAATGTAAAAAAAAAAAAAAGCACTAAAGTAATGCTATCAGACAAAAATATCTGAAGAAAGTAACCATCTTTAGAATAATAACCAAGTATATCTACATCTTTGAGGCTTTATTCCCTTCAGAAACCTGAAGGGAATACAGCTCATGCCTAGTGCAGAGCTCCTCTGTTATGCTCTACACGAGTCAAGAATATAGAGACCTATGTGTAGCTCAAGCAGAGAGCCATCAATGTCTGCTATGGTTTCTCTTTGCTTCTTCTACGTAGTATGGATGGATAGTACATTACTGATAAAGACAAGTATCAAGTTAATTGGTCTACACTTATGCAAGACCAGATTAAGGGGTGCCAGGCAGGCAGCTGCCAGGGGTGCTAGGGGCTCAAATTTCTTAGTCCACTACTGCACTCATGTACAAACAATAATGCCTTAATTATCAGTGAAGCATCATTAATTTATAAAATAATTAGCACTACAATAATCTATCTTAGTCTCAATTCTCCCAGATTCAGAAAATAGAATTCTGAATTCAAAAGAATCACCTAAATTCTGAATTTTCACAGCATAAGCAAAAATTACTTTGTAATTCTCTTGTATTCACAAAATATGAGTAAAAACAAAATTCAGTAGCAGATATTTTTTTCCAAACAAGAAAAATTTAGGAATTCTGCAATTGTATAATGATTATTATTTCTTTATAAATAGATACTGAGTATACCAGGAAAAGTGTACGGTAGGGTTATTATTGAAAGAATTAGAGGTAAGACAGAATGTAGGATTGCGGATGAGCAAGGAGGTTTTAGAGTGGGTAGGGGATGTGTAGATCAAATGTTTACATTGAAGCATATATGTGAACAGTATTTAGATAAAGGTAGGGAAGTTTTTATTGCATTTATGGATTTAGAAAAGGCATATGAAAGAGTGGATAGGGGAGCAATGTGGCAGATGTTGCAAGTATATGTAATAGGTGGTAAGTTATTAAATGCTGTAAAGAGTTTTTATGAGGACAGTGAGGCTCAGGTTAGGGTGTGTAGGAGAGAGGGAGACTACTTCCCTGTAAAAGTAGGTCTTAGACAGGGATGTGTAATGTCACCATGGTTGTTTAATATATTTATAGAAGGGGTTGTAAAAGAAGTAAATGCTAGGGTGTTCAGGAGAGGGGTGGGATTAAATTATGAGGAATCAAATACAAAATAGGAATTGACACAGTTACTTTTTGCTGATGATACTGTGCTTATGGGAGATTCTAAAGAAAAATTGCAAAGGTTAAGTGGACGAGTTTGGGAGTGTGTGTAAAGGTAGAAAGTTGAAAGTGAACATAGAAAAGAGTAAGGTGATGAGGGTATCAAATGATTTAGATAAAGAAAAATTGGATATTAAATAACAAAAAAAGGCACGATACACAAATAACCCGCACATAGAAGAGAGGAGCTTACGACGATGTTTCGGTCCGACTTGGACCATTTCCCCCCACCTCTGTGCACTTGCTCTCCCTCTGTGGGCACCTGGCTCCCCTGCAGTGCTCCCCTTTCTTTGTATTTGACTGGCTCCTCCTCCTTAATTCCCCACTACTACTACTACTACTACTACTACTACCACTACTACTACCACTAACTACTACTACTACCACCACTACCTCTTCCTGCCTATATATAGCTGTCCTGCTCCACTTATGGTTAGTGTGACATTGTAAATGGTCCAAGTCGGACCGCAACGTCGTCGTAAGCTCCTCTCTTCTATGTGCGGGTTATTTGTGTATTGGATATTAAGTTGGGGAGGAGGAGTATGGAAGAAGTGAATGTTTTCAGATATTTGGGAATTGACGTGTCAATGGATGGATTTATGAAGAATGAGGTTAATCATAGAATTGATAAAGGAAAAAAGGTGAGTGGTGTGTTGAGGTATATGTGGAGACAAAAAACGGTATCTATGGAGGCAATGAAGGGAATGTATGAAAGTATAGTAGTACCAACACTCTTATATGGGTGTGAAGCTTGGGTTGTAAATGCTGCAGCGAGGAGGCGGTTGGAGGCAGTGGAGATGTCCTGTCTAAGGGAAATGTGTGGTGTAAATATTATGCACAAAATTCGGAGTGTGGATATTAGGAGAAGGTGTGGAGTTAATAAAAATATTAGTCAGAGGGCTGAAGAGGGGATGTTGAGGTGGTTTGGTCATTTAGAGAGAATGGATCAAAGTAGAATGACATGGAGAGCGTATAAATCTGTAGGGGAAGGAAGGCGAGGTAGGGGTCGTCCTCGAAAAGGCTGGAGGGAGGGGGTAAAGCAGGTTTTGTGGGTGAGGGGCTTGGACTTCCAGCAAGCGTGCATGAGCGTGTTAGATAGGAGTGAATGGAGACAAATGGTATTTGGGACCTGACGAGCTGTTGGAGTGTGAGCAGGGTAATATTTAGTGAAGGGATTCAGGGAAACTGGTTATTTTCATATAGCCGGACTTGAGTCCTGGAAATGGGAAGTACAATGCCTGCACTTTAAAGGAGTTTGGGATATTGGCAGTTTGGAGGGATATGTTGTGTATCTTTATATGTGTATTCTTCTAAACTGTTGTATTCTGAGCACCTCTGCAAAAACAGTGATTATGTATGAGTGAAGTGAAAGTGTTGAATGATGATGAAAGTATTTTCTTTTTGGGGATTTACTTTCTTTTTGGGTCACCCTGCCTCGGTGGGAGATGGCTGACTTGTTCAAAAAAAAAGAAAAAAAAAAAGAAAAAAAATATATATATATATTTAGATACATGTGCAATCACATTCCTTGTTTCAGATATGTGTTTATTTTGTATTTCAGAAGTCATATCTCCAATACAAAAGAGAGCTTTGGGCACGGAAAAGCTATTAAGACAAAAAGTTGGATAACTGAATCTACAGTGGACCCCCGCATAACGATATTAATCCGTTCCTGAGAGCTCATTGTTATGCGAAATTATCGTTATGCGAATGAATTTTCCCCATAAGAAATAATGGAAATCAAATTAATCCGTGCAAGACACCCAAAAGTATGAAAAAAAAATTTTTACCACATGAAATATACATTTTCCTACACACAAAGAGAAGGATACATGCACAATAGTAGAGTAGTACATGCACAATATATATTGTGCATGTACTACTCTACTAAATGAAGAATAAATGACACTTACCTTTATTGAAGATGCAGCAATGACTGATGAGACACTGTGTCCTGGGAGTGCCTTTTCCTCCTGAGTACTGTAGGTCCTGTTTGGCATTTTCTTCCAGAACAGGCCTTATCACACTGTGTATGCCACTACGATTCTTAAATCTCTCAAACCAACCTTTGATGGCTTTAAATTCACCAATATGAGCACTAGTTCCAGGCATTTTTCCCTGTTCACCTGGGTGTTAGTCAACTGGTGTGGGTTGCATCCTGGGAGACAAGATTAAGGACCCCAGTGGAAATAAGTTAGACAGTCTTCGATGACACTGACTTTTTTGGGTTATCCTGGGTGGCTAACCTTCTGGGGTTGTTTCTTGGTATTCTCAATAAGCCACACCAACAACGGTGCTACAGCAGCAGCAGCAGCAACCGCTGACAGTGCTACAGCAGCAGCAGACGGTACTACAGCAGCAGCAGCTGACGGTGGTACAGCAGCAGCAGCAGACGGTACTACAGCAGCAGCAGCTGACAGTGGTACAGCAGCAGCAGCAGCTGACGGTGCTACAGCAGCAGCAGCAGCTGATGGTGCTACAGCAGCAGCAGCAGCTGACGGTGCTACAGCAGCAGCAGCAGCTGACGGTGCTACAGCAGCAGCAGCAGCTGACGGTGCTACCAGCAGCAGCAGCAGCTGACGGTGCTACAGCAGCAGCAGCAGTCTGCTGGATGCTGCTACAGCAGCAGCAGCAGCTGACGGTGGCTACAGCAGCAGGCCAGCAGCAGCATCAGCAGTTGACCATGGTACCACAGTATTTCGATAATATTTCTCACCCTTTTTACCACAGGGTTGGCACTAGAAGCTTTCTTGGGGCCCATGGTCACTTATTTTGCAGATAAAATCACCAAAAACGCTGTAATAATACGAAATGTTCCGATTGTATGCTTGGATGTTACCGCGGAGGCTGGCTTGTAAACAATGCCACCGGCGGAACATGTGAGGCTGGCTCAGGCCGCACATTAGACGCGTCTCGGACGAATAGCATTGAGCGGGTTTTTTAGTGGTATGCGAGGCAAAATCTTAGCGATAAAATGTATCGGTATGCGGATTTAACGTTATGTGATGCCAACGGTATGCGGGGGTCCACTGCATTTGCAGATTGCCCATCGACAAAAATGTTAGGTAACTGAAACTCTTAAATAAGAAGGCCCCTGAATATGTGGGGATGACTACTATAATTCAGACAACCCTCTCCCTTCCCCATGACCATAAATTAACATGGAAAAAGAGATAAATCTCTTTTCTATTTGCAGTCTTAGGTTTATTTTGGGCCAATGTATAACTATTTTAAATTTATGTTTCCTTTCTCATTCATGTTTCACTCTTTTGATTCTTGATTTTAGTTACTTATTAGCCTTATCTGTTTCCAATATGTTTGTCAATATGCTCATCAACATGCAAAGTAGTGTACTATACTTCAGCAGTTGTTCTCAGATTTATTCTTAGATTATGTCCAATTACTGCATATACAATAACCAGAAAGCCCACAGGATGCACAACATTTCAAGCAAAACCTAGTCTAGTTTAAAGAACTACGTAGACTGATTTATAATTTGTAAAGAACTGTGTGATCTTGTACTAGACATTTTCCACATTACAAAAAGTTACTGAGAATTTTTTAATTAATTAAGTTAACAAACAAAAGTACAGGGTTATGTAGTTAGAGCAATAACAGTATACCAAATAAAAGCAACATTAAACACTCAAAATAAAACCCTACTCACCTTTGGGGTCTATCGGGCCTTTCACATGTGCATTACGTGCTGAGCGTCTGACAGAGGATCTTCGCCTTCCAAATAAACTTAACTCTTCCACTTGGCCTGGCTGTGATGCTAATATCACATGCATAAGTTAGTCACACAAAACACAAAGAAACAAGCATGTATAATACAATGCATTTTACAAGAGTATCATATAAATAAGCCCCTTACATTATCACACACATTATGATTATTTCACCACAAACTGCCCAAAAATTATCTGTACAGATAAACTTCTGTATTTTTTTTATTATATTTATCAAAAGCAATGAATAAAGCAACTAATAGTGTATTTTTTGTTTCAGCATATTGCACCCAGTCTGTTCAGTCACGGTATATCCTGGGTTCTCCATGTAAATATCAATGTTCAGCTTATTCATATTGAAGATTTATGCAGCAGCACATAATACTGTGCTGAATGATCTAACCAGCATAATACAATATTCATTATTAGTGCCATACTGTTTAATGGAGATTTTTAGTGTTAAGCACTGTGATATGTAAGGAGTCCCATTTAGTTTGTTCCATAAAACAACAACAGGTTTTCACATCAGAAATTAAATTCTTTTTATACTCATCTGAGAAGTAAGTTTTTATACTGCTTAAGATCATTTAAGGATGTTAATCATTAAGTGCACTTAAGATAAATGTATCATAACAGGAAACAATATATGAGGTATATAACCAGTGAAGCATTCAACCCAGTCCTAACAGATAAACATCAGGATAAGTACCATAAGCATCCACAGCTACACAAGACACTTAAATCAGTACTAACATGCCAAACACATCAAACTGTAGTATTTTTGTTTGGAGTTATGTTAATACTTACTTGTAACCGAGTGTCTTCGTGGTGTAGTGGTAGGAGAGGCAGAGGCATTGGATGACACTGCTCCATGAGATATAAAGGAGTTCATGCTCTCAACTGATGGATCCCTACCACCTGGAAGCCTGAGCTCAGCTTCTGAGGAACCTATTAAAAACAAAAAAAATTAAATATTATTTTCAATGGGGGGGGGTATAGTGTTGGAGTGATTGGTATTTTTGTTTAATAAATGTATGAAAGAGGGATTGGCAGAGAGCATGTACAGTTCCTTTATATAAAGGGAAGGGAGACAAGAGATTGTAAAAATTATAGGGGAAGAAGTTTACCGAGTATATCAAGAAAAGTGTATGGTATGGTTATTATTGAAAGAATTAGAAGACAGAGAGTAGGACTGCATGTGAGCAAGGAGGCTTTAGAGTAGGTAGGGGATGTGTAGATCAAGTGTTTACATTGAAGCATATATGTGAACAGTATTTAGATAAATATAGGGAAGTTTTCATTGCATCTATAGATTTAGAAAAGGCATATGATAGAGTGGATAGGGGAGCAATGAGGCAGATGTTGCATGTATATGGAATAGGTAGTAAGTTACTAAATGCTGTAAAGAATTTTTATGAGGATAGTAAGGCTCAGGTTAGGGTGTGTAGGAGAGAGGGAGGTGTAATGTCACCATGGCTGTTTAATATATTTATAGATGGGGTTGTAAAAGACATAAATGGTAGGGTGTTGGGGAGAGGGGTGGGATTAAATTATGCAGAATCAAATACAAAATGGGAGTTGACACAGTTACTTTTTGCTGATGATACTGTGCTTATGGGAGATTCTAAAGAAAAGTTGCAAAGGTTATTGGACGAGTTTGGGAGGGTGTGTAAAGGTAGAAAGTTGAGAGTGAACATAGATAAGAGTAAGGTGACGAGGGCATCAAATGATTTAAAGAAAAATTGGATATCACATTGGAGAGAGTGAGTATGGAAGAAGTGAATGTTTTCAGATATTTGGGAGTTGACTTGTCAGCAGATGGGTTTATGAAGAATGAAGTTAACCATAGAGTTGATGAAGGAAAGAAGGTGAGTGGTGCATTTAGGTATCTGTGGAGACAAAAAAAACGTTATCCATGGAGGCAAAGAAGGGAATGTACGAAAGTATAATGGTACCATCACTCTTATGGGTGTGAAGCTTAGGATGCAAATGCTGCAGCGAGGAGGTGGCTGGAGGCAGTGGAGATGTCCTGTCTAAGGGTAATGTGTGGTGTAAATATTATGCAAAGAATTTGGAGTGTGGAAATTAGGTGGTGTGGAGTTACTAAAAGTATTAGTCAGAGGGCTGAAGAGGGGTTGTTGAGGTGGTTTGGTCATTTAGAGAGAATAGATCAAAGTAGAATGACTTGGAGAGCGTATAAATCTGTAGGGAAAGGAAGGCAGGGTAGGGGTCATCCTTGAAAAGGTTGGCGGGAGGGGGTAAAGGAGGTCTTGTGGGCAAGGGGCTTGGACTTCCAGCAAGCATGTGTGAGCGTGTTAGATGGGAGTGAATGGAAACGAATGGTTTTTGGGACTTGTACATAATCACTGCAAAGACAGTGATTATGTATGAGTGAGGTGAAAGTGTTGAATAATGATGAAAGTATTTTCTTTTGGGGGATTTTCTTTCTTTTTGGGTCACCCTGCCTCGGTAGGAGATGACCAAAGTGCTAAAAAAAAAAATGTTTAAAAGGATGCTTTATGTAGTTCTTTACACAGGGAGCTGAAGCAATGTCATTTTTGAAAGGTGATTCAGAAACTAAGGTGAAGCTGTAGTGATGTATTGTGCTACAATGGCTTAGAAGTGACCTTCAAACAACCCAATTAGCTGCCAGTCCTGCTGCTGTCAGTCAAACCATTATTTTACATAGGTACAGTGCTATGTATGGAGGTTCCATTCCTGGTAACCAAAGTCAAACCATAAGTTTTTCTATTTTTAGGGGCTGTCTTGCCGGGCAAACATTCGCTGTAAATGCAGAGAGGAGAGGGATTAAGTTTGGGGACACCTGTATTGGTGTTTATTTAAAAATAGTATCAATGTACATGTACAATGCTCACCATTTAAAGTTGAAACTGGACTGGTATTATTTGAGGCTGTGGTGTTGACTTCTGAAGATGCTGAGAGTGAGCTGAAAGAGGTATGAGAGGAGGCAGCTCTGGGAGGTCTGGAAGCAGAGGTTGGCGGAGTAGCTCCTTCCCCCAGCAGAAGTCCAAGACGCATGTACAGATCTTCACCATCCTTGGCCTCAGCTGCCTCACCACTTCCTCCACTTGTAGCTTCTGTATCACCATCACATTCATCATCTGTAGAGCAGAATAATTTTATAAATCAAATTCATTAATAATACTTTTCAGATGTAGCTTAGGAAATTGTCTGACAATAATTCTGCTTTATATCAGCACTACCATACAGCAGGTCCCCAAATTACAAACATCCACACATACAAAAGAGGCACTTATGAGCCAAATACATTTTTACATCTACTGATCTATAGTACAAACATGTCTGCAACATCTTTTGTACTATTGTTTTGTATAAATAATTTGCTTGTAAGTAGAAACACCTGAAGCACAACTTGTTTATAAATTGGGAACTTCCTGCACTCAAAAGAATTACTTTTCCTTTCCTATACAATTTTTAATTGTACATATTTAAATGACACAGAGTTTATAAGTTATGAAATTTATTTAGTTACAAAAACAATTAGAATATGTTACTAAAAATCTTCAACATGCTGCTTTCAGGAAAAAAAAAAATCCAACTCCCATTTCCCACAAAAGCAGGGTTACCTAAAGAAAAAAAAATTCCAATTTCCCTTCATCTTTCTTAGTAATTATAAAGAACAAAGGGCAAGTAATACTTTGTTCCTGGGATTTTATTTACCTTTTATGACACTCATGAATATGGGGTAAAAAAAAATATAACTACACATATTGCGCATAACCACTGTTGTCATCTTCATCATGCACTTCCAATTAAACTAATGTCACAAGAACTAAAACATGTACTGTACTCAATGAGGTGGTCAAAACCATCAATTTTATCAAAATGAGCCCATCCTATTCTAGGACATTTGGTACACGTGAAGAAATGGGCATCATATCCAAGTGCGAGGGCTATCTCACAGATAACTGCTCGCTCTGTTTTAAGAGTTATGAGGAAAGGAGCTTTTTTGTATTCGAGCATCTTTTTGAGCCAGGACACAACAAATGTTGGGCACAGAATTTACTTAATGTTTCAATGCAAGGCATTAATGTAACTGTTTCAGAATAAAATGGATGCAGTTCAACTGCAATTCAAACTTTGGGATGATTCTATGAAAAACAAGTACTTCCCAAATCTTAAGTGATTTTCATTAGTGACTGAAGTTTCTCCTCAATGAAAATGTCAAAATTTTTGGAATAATTTTTTCATATGCATACCATAATTAGGGAATACTCTCTTCCCTTACAAACATTGAATGGGTTCAAAATCCTTTCTTTGCATCTGTAACTGTCTCAGTTTTCATTAAAAGATAAAGAACTTAGATATTTTGACAGATATCACTTTAAAATCAAGCTTTTCATTAAGTTGAGCTTATTAGTCTCTGGATTCAGATATTAAAAAAATATCCTGAAAGGTATACAACTGAATATCAACAAAGTCTTTATTGGGCAAATAAAAATAACATGATGTTTAATGGTGACAAATTTCATTTGCTTATAGGAACTATGAGGAAGTCAGAGTGAACACAGCGAACAGCTCCCAACTCGAACAATTATGTAAGTGCTATTGTAAGTGTATTTTTGGGGGTCTGAAACGGACTAATCTAATTTACATTTTTCCTTATGGGAACAAATTCATTCGGTATCGGCACTCGAACAGCCTTCTGGAACGAATTAAGTTCATAACTCAAGGTACCAGTGTACAGTGGTACCCCAAGTTTCATACAGCTCCCAACTCAAACAATTATGTAAGTGTATTTTTGTAAGTGCTTTTGTAAGTTTATTTTTGGGGGTCTGAAATGGACTAATCTAATTTACATTATTCCTTATGGGAACAAATTTGTTCGGTAACGGCACTCGAACAGCCTTCTGGAACGAATTATGGCCGAAACTCAAGGTACCACTGTATATCATTTAGAGAACACAAAGCAAATGCAGCTAAGGTCAGAATGTGATAATGAAAACTTTCAAAACAACAGTCAACATCAATGATGGTGCTACAGTATTCAAATCATTTGTGTTCTCACAGGTGGGAGGGACATCAGAGCTGGAAAATAGGCATATATCATTTACTACCTGCATAGTTAATAAAGCATTTAAATTACTGATAATGCCTTAAAAGTGAAGATTTGTTAGTTAAAACCACTTGTGCAATAAATCTGCATTACGAGTTTCAATGATAACTATAATGGACAATTCTTGATTCAACCCTTTCAATGTCGGTGTCATAATAGTATGGCTCACAAGCCAGTGTTGGTGCTGTATTAATACACCAAAATTCTAGCAGTTTCAAATCTAGTGGGAGAAAGCGGGTAGACCTACATGTGAGAGAATGCGTCTGCATGGTCAGTGTGTGCAATATAAAAAAATCCTGCAGCACGCAGTGCATAATGAGAAAAAAAACCATTGTTTTTTATTTAAAATACCGACTTTGAGGTGTATTTTTGTATGGTATTTATGATTGTATTCTCGTTTTCTTGATCTCATTTGATAGAATGGAGGATATATCACAGAAATAGGGACGATTTTGATTGGTTTTAGTACTATGAAAAGTACCTTGAAATTGAGCTCGTAGCAGTGGAAATGTTTGATTTTTGCAGATGTTCAAGAGTAAACAAATGACGTCACCTTCCAATACATGTCCAACCGGCCAGTCTAATACTCAGTCACCAATGGGTTGTCATTATTTATACATTTATTACAATAATGCAGTAGTCTACATAGCAATAAATCTTCTATTTTCTGGGTGAATAAAAATTCAAAATGGAAAGAAAGAATAATAAAAGAGGGGACTGGAGACATGACTAATGAACAGAGAAAATGTTATTTTAGTGCCAGGAATGTTTGCACTGTTTATTCTGGACCCTATTTTAAAATTTGCATCATTTGAAATTTGTGTGAAATTGGCCAAATTGCTAATTTCTGACCACTTTATTGGGTAGTTGAAATCGATAAATGGGCAGTTTCTTGTACTAGATCGATAGAACAAATGGAGTTCGAGTGAAATAGCTATGAATTTGGTCACCTGGAACAATGGAATTAGCCGAAAATAGGGCTCAAATTGGGTGAAATTGCTGACGTGTATGTACTGCTGAGACCTCTAACTTCATGAGAGCATAATTCCATAAGTTTTCTATCAAATTTCGTACTTTTGGTGTCATTACCATTGGAAAAAGATTACCATTTCGTAAGATTTTTTTTTTTTTTTTTTTTGAAAATTCTTTGCCACCGAGAGAAAGTTTGTGAGCCGGGATCTCAACAGGGTTAGTGAACTTTGTTCACTCTGAAAATTAAGTTACCCACATAACCTCAACAATAATGGACAATTGTGGATTTAATGCCCGAAGTACAATTCAGAGTTTAAACAGATTTTTGTCCATTGTTTCTGAATGTTGTCTGGCCACAGATTTTTGTGTATTAAATTCAAATTGTGTTAAGTCAAGGTTTTACTTTACAGTATGTTATTTCAGGGTTATTTGATTTTACAGTAAAACAGAATTATAGCATAAGAGGGTCTAAATAGTGATATTGAAACCAACCCTTGAGCTCTAGAAATGTAACCCTACAAGTCCCATGTTATAATAAACTCCACTCTTGATTTTTCAACTGGTCTCCTGTTTTTGGGCATATACACATACTCATAAGTCTGAGGAATGATAGTAATGCTTATGTCTGCTAAATGTGGGAAGTTTAGAAAAAAAAAAAAGAGGGAAATTTGAATAAAAGTGCACTCTTCAGTATTATAAAACAAAATATGTGCAGTTATATTTTCAGTTTATGTATCAGCTGTCTCCTCTAAGAGCTTATATCTCCCCAAAATTTTGAGAGATCACTGTATATGGAATTATTGGCTTGAATCATTCATGCAATCATTATCACTATTCCCCTGAGATAATTAGCAGAGATTTTGTTAATCACAACAAATTATGCAGATTTAAAATCAGTACACAAAACAAAATAAAAAAACTTGAAAGAAATAAAATAGGGACTTTTACCAAACTACCTGTGCTTAAAAACAGACATATTTATCACTTTAACAATTACTGTAATTACTTGAAGTACAGTATACTGAATATCAGGCAAGTATAAAAATAACTAAAATATGTACTGAAGAGGTAAATAATTGAAAATAAAAATATAGTGACTGAATAAAGCTTACGAGTTTGACCAGTGCTATATATTATTTATAAATTGTAATAAGGATGCAGTCAACTAGTGTTTTGATTGAAAGAGCAATACTATATATGAAATACACTATTCACACAATCACTGCAAAAGCCATATAAATTAAGAAAAAAACAAAAGTGATTTCATGGCTTTTAAACAAATTCAAAGCAAGCAATAGTTCTATATTACCACTAAATATTGACAATCATGCAAATAAATTAATCCCATAAAGATTCAGCAGTGATGCCATCTACAGCACATCAACACTATAAAATATTAAAAGCCACAAATTAAAAATGGTTGACAATATCTATTCCATTTACTGTAAACTGAAGCTGTACAGAATGAAGCTAATGAAAAACAACATGCAAGATTCATGCATCACATCAGTACCTATACTCCAAAGAGATTTTATCCTTCGAGCTAGACTTATATTTTTGGAACTCTTCTTATCGGCCGAGGAGAGGAGAGCTACAAGGCAGGAGAGAAGTTGGTGTGTGTTAGTTATTGCTTTGTACTAATTTTGCTTCAGTTAGATAATGAATGGTGATATCAGCTCAACTGAAACTTAAGAATTTTTATTTTAAATACACTATGAATAAATTTTTATTATATATGTGCTGAATAATTTTCATAATTTACTTATAGTTCTATATTCTGTTCAGCTGATATTACATAATACAAGTTAAAAACAAGATTTAATGGTGAGTATCTACAGTATTCATTTTGTTTTCAAAAACTAATGTCATTTATTTTCCTAATGTTGGAACAATATGACTTGTGTTCTGCATACACATCAAAACTAGAATTCCTGAGACCAACTTTTTGATGAGATGATATATAGATATTTACCAGTTAAACTGGGGTTAGTACTAATGTAAACAGAATAACCATATACGTAATATAAATTTCAACATATATTAATTTTTTTTTTTTACCTCAACAGCCATCTGCCAAGACAGGTGAACCAAAGAAAATGCATTCACCATCATTTGTTCAAGTACTAGGGCCAGAAGTATGGTGACATCACAATTCAGATTAACCTCCAACTGCAACCTCCCCACTCCTCTTGCAGAGTTGAGACACTGCCATCTATCTCCAGGTCTCAAAGTCTGGCTAACCGGTTTCCCCCTTCATAAAAATTCCTTTGTTCATACTCCAACCACTTATCTCCATTCACTCTTATCTAACATGCTAACAAAGGTCTGCTGGATGCTCAAACCCCTAAAATTAAAGACTTTTTCTCCCCCCCCCCCTCCAACTATTTCTGAGATGACCCTTACCCTCCTATCTTCCTCAGATTTATACTCTATTGTCCTATCCCTCTCCCTCTCTACATGTCCAAACCATCTTAACAACCTCTCCACAGCCCTCATAATTATACCTTTGGTGACATTACACCATTATTTAAATTCTACACTCTGAACTCCCTTCATACTATTTACATCATACATTGCTCTCAAACATGACATCTCACTGCCTCCTCCTTGCCACAGCATTCAAAATCCATGCTCCACCTTCATACAAAATTGTTGGTATCACTAGACTCTGGTACATTCCTTTTTATCACCACAGACAAATTTTCCACAGATGCCCCAATACACCATCCACTTTTTCCTCATCCATTATTATAGTACAGTATTATATATACATACAGTGTTGTATGTATACATGTATGTACAGTGGAACCTTGGTTGTTGATTGCATTACTTGTCAAATAAATTGGTTTTCAAATGAAGTGCTAAAAAAAAAATGTCATGGTTTTTGTATGTTCTCTAGGTTGTCAATGGACAAATTCTTGCATATATGGAACAGGATAAAACGGCTTAGGTCACATACTCATGGAATGGGCACTGGACCACGGGTTGAGAGCATGGGTATGAATAAGCATAGCCACTACCTCGTGTGCTGTAAACATCTCTTGAGCATATCTTATGAACTTTTTATTTTATGATTTTGGTGCAATTTTTTTTTATTGTGAGATCAGCCATCATGAGTCCAAAGGAGGATAAAGAGATGAAAGCAAAAACAAAAGTTATAAAAAGCACTGTCTAGTTTAGAAAAGAAGTTATTAGAAAGTATGAAGAAGACAGATTCTGCATGATTGATATAGCACTCGTCAAGGAAATATGTGCTAAATGGCGTTACGTGCAGGAGTTTGCTGAAAAATACCATCCAGACAAAGCAGTGGCCATCCATCTCTAACATATACAATGACAGTGTAATGTCTCAATTTTGACAAGTGTTAAAACGGAGCCTAAACCAAACCTCAATGTACGGGTTTTAGTGAGAGAGAACCAGCGAGTCAAAACAAGGTGTCAGTGATGAAAAGAGACAAAGAAGAGAAACACCACCAGAAGGACCATTGTCTGACATATTAATGTTTTATGTAGTAGTTAGTACAATATATATTATCATTTGGGGTCTGGAACGGATTAATTCTATTTACATTATTCTTCATGGGAAAAACTGCTTTGGTTGTTGTCGATTTTCGCTGTCGAATCGACATCTGGAAGAAATTAAATTTGAAAACCCAGCTTCCATCATATATGTACACGTGTGTGTGCTCACTCACTTGCAGGGGTTGAGTCACAATGTGCATGTATGTATGCATATATGAATGTTTATTTTAACTCAACAGCTGTCTCTTGCCAAGTCAGAGGTGACTCAAAGAAGAAGATGCATTCATCATCATTCATTCAACTGCTGTCTTTCCAGAAGTATACTGACTTCACAATTATCTACAACTGTAACATCCCCACTCCTTCAGAATGCAGGTACTACCCTTTCAACCTCTTGGACTCAAGTTGGCTAACCAGTTTCCCTGAATCCCTTCATTAAATGTACCTTGCTTGCACTCCAACAGCACATCCATTAAAAAACCACTCATGTCCATTCACTCCTATTTAACATGCTCTCCTCCAACATCCACACAACTACACTGGCATTTTTTTTTTTTTTAGTTTTAATCTTGAAATAATTCATAGCACAATTATTTTACTGAAAATACTTGCTCATGATAATGCTTTTTGCATGTTGAACTACATGATGAACATTATTTTATAAAATACTGTCACTTGTTTTGAAATTACACACAAATAATTAGGATCACATTTTCAAACATTAACTGTCTAATACACATTCCTCAGAAATTAAAATTAAAATTAACAATATGGTGCAGAACTATATTTTAATTCTGTTATTTATAATAGGAAAATATTGAAAATCAAATTTAAACATTAAACATCCTTTTTCTCAAATGCTGAGAATAAAGCCTGCTGCTACTCTTTAAAATACATTGAAAAAGGATAAACTTTAAATATACAAAAGTTGGAGGATGGTATTATGGAAAGTATGTTGTGCTGTTTAGCCAAATCTTGCAGATTAGGCTTATAAACTAATGATCATTTTGCCAAACAAGCTGAACATGTGGAGACAAATGATACAAAATACTGACAAGATGGAAAAAGAGAAATACAGTATAATGTGATCCTTAATTGACAATGTGTAGACTGATGTCCGATCTATCATTAGTCTATCAAGAAGTCAGTTTCAACATCTCATTTGACTAATGTCACTATGCCCAATAATTAAATAAATAAATAAATAATATAAATATATTATATATATACTATATATATATAATATATTATTAATATATATATAGATATTGGCAGTTTGGAGGGATATGTTGTGTAACTTTATATGTGTATGCTTCTAAACTGTTGTATTCTGAGCACCTCTGCAAAAACAGTGATAATGTGCGAGTGTGGTGAAAGTGTTGAATGATGATGAAAGTATTTTCTTTTTGGGGATTTTCTTTCTTTTTTGGGCCCCCCTGCCTTGGTGGGAATCGGCCAGTGTGATTAAAAATATTATATATATATATATATAATCAACACTGGCCGATTCCCACCAAGGGCAGGGTGGCCCGAAAAAGAAAAAACTTTCCCCATCATTCACTCCATCACTGTCTTGCCAGAAGGGTGCTTTACACTTAATTTTTTAAAACTGCAACATTAACACCCCCCCCTTCAGAGTGCAGGCACTGTACTTCCCATCTCAGGACTCAAGTCCGGCCTCCCGGGTTTTCCCTGAACCCCTTCGTAAATGTTACTTTGCTCACACTCCAACAGCACGTAAAGTTTTAAAAACCATTTGTCTCCATTCACTCCTATCAAACACGCTCACGCATGCCTGCTGGAAGTCCAAAGCCCCTCGCACACAAAACCCCCTTTTAAACCCCCTCCCTCCACCTTCCTAGGCCGACCCCTACCCGCCTCCTTCCACTACAGACTAAATACACTCTTAAAGGGTATTCTGTTTGCTCCATTCTCTCCACATGTCCGAACCACCTCAAAAAACCCTTCCTCAGCCCTCTGGACAACAGTTTTGGAAATTTCCGCACCCCCTCCTAAACTTCCAAATTTACGAATTCTCTGCATTATATTCACACACACATTGCTCTCAGACATGACATCTCCACTGCCTCCAGCCTTCTCCTCGTTGCAACATTCATCACCCATGCTTCAACCCATATAAGAGCGTTGGTAAAACTATACTCTCATACTTTCCCTCTTTGCCCCCAAAAGGACAAAGTTCTTTGTCTCCACAGACTCCTAAGTGCACCCCTCATCCTTTTCCCCTCATCAATTCTATGATTCACCCCATCTTCATAGACCCATCCCCTGACACGTCCACTCCCAAATATCTGAATACATTCACCTCCTCCAAACTCTCTCCCTAAAATCTGAACCCAATCTTTCATCCCCTTTAATCTTTTTTTTTATCCTCAAAACCCTTTAAACCCCTTTCCGTTTTCCCATTTTTCAATTTTCTTTTTTTGGGCACACCCCCCAAAATTTCCCACCACCAATCCCCGCAACTTCTTTTTCAGAATCCCCCAAAGACCCCAAAAGGTGCCCATCAGCAAAGAGCAACTGTGAAAACCCTTCCCCACTTTATGTGTGTTTCCCTTTACTTTTAACCCCAAACGCCTTTTTGCCAAGACCCTCGCATTTACTTCTCTTCCCACCCATCTAAAAATATATTAAAAAACCCACGGTGACACACCCACCCTTTTGCCTAAGGCCTATTTTTTCGGGAAAAAATTTTCCCCTTTTTCCAAACATACTCTAACTTAACCCTTCACACCCTCGAAAAACCCTTCAACTGTTTTCCCAGTAACCTACCTCCTACCCATACCCCCTGCAACATTCCCCACATTCCCCCCCCTACCACCCTGTCATCCCCAACCTTTTCCCCCAAATCCATAAATCCCACAAAAACCTTTTTAAAGCCTTTCAAAAATACTTTTCCCCTTTATATTTTCACGGGAAAACCCCTGGCCACCCACCCCCAAAACCTTTTCCCAAAGCCTCCTTGTTAAAACTGCAAACCCTATTTCTCCTTCCCTTTATTTCTTAATTTCTTTCAATAATAACACCAAAACTTTTTTCCCCAGGTATACC